TCAGAGCTACGAAGCGGTCCAATGCCAACTAATGGAGCAAAATCAAAAGTGCTCATCTGTAATATAAGATTACATATAATTCACGCCTCATATGAGTATAATGTTATCAAAATATTGCAGAATTATTGAAAAATACAAATCATTACCAATGAAAAAACTCTTTCACAAAATTAGCCAAGTCTGTCTTGCGGAAAAGAATTAGAAACGACCGCCATGATAGATCACGCGTTGTGTCATCTCAATTATCCTTTCTATATATGACGCGTATGGCCAAATATAGTATTACTACTTGTGAACTACAATTTCCATATTGGGTCATGACACCCATATTTAGACGTCTGACATATTCGGAAAACAGACGACATTTCCAACATGACGGTCAATTCAGATTTCGATTGTGCTTGCTAAGTTATCTTGATAATTTTACGACATTTTAGGCAGATTTTAACTTCAAGTTATACAGGATATCAACAGAAATAGTTCATACAACAACCCTATTTATGGATGCGGACCAATGTGCAGTCAACTTTTCTAAAATCACCGGCGGTGTGATTCACACCAGGTTTGCTCCATTACAAGGCATGGGATCAATTTAATACCCGGCCGGTGCAGAGGAGGTCAGGTATTAATATTAGTACTAGGATGCACGGTAGTCCAGTGGTAGGACCCTAGGCTCGTGACCGAAGGGTTGCGGGTTCGCGGCACGGCAATGTGTTGTTCCAGTCTACTCAGCTGTAAATGAGTACGTGATTGGGCAGTGCTAAAATTGTTGAATGTTAGCGCCGAAATGGCAGCTCCGGCTGTATGCTCCCCAGGGAGTTGAGAAAGGTATTGGCTGGTTGCAAAGGCCCATGGATAATAATTTGTGAACCGCTTTGAGACGGCCTACAAACTAGGTTGTGATAAAGCGGTATACAAGAACCTCCTATTATTATTATTATTATAAGGTAGCTGGCCAGTGGCCATACAGGGTTTGATGAATTGATAGGAATTGCCCACGGGTTGATATCCAGACTGAGAGTCAAAGAATACCTGTAGAATTTTTTTTATTGTACAGAGCGCTTATTGCAGGATTGTTGTTTGTTTAGATTCAATAATAATCTATGCACAATTGTGTTGCTAACCTCTCGGGACAAAATATCTGCTAGTGCTAGGTCATGACCTGTCAAAACAAGGATAAAGGAGTTAAATCAAGGGTCATGTGTGTGTACAGCTTTTTAGATAGAGATGGTTCAATAAAATTATGAGCAACAAAAAATTTCAACATTGACTACAATTAAGTAATTGTTAAGTTTCAAATCATTTCCGCTTTCAAATCTAAAGAGCAATATTTCCTAGTATGTATTGTTCTTTTAAAGTTCTCTAATTTGATTTTGTGCTTTGTCACAAGTTCTGTGATTGGTTAATAGCTATAGCAGCACATGTATGTGAGCCAAACAACAGTTGTTGATATAAGTATGAACAGCTGTTTCATTCATGCTTCAAATTATAACATTTAAATCAAATGTGTGTAGATACCTGCTACAATCAAATGTGTGTATATACCTGCTACAATCAAATGTGTGTAGATATCTGCTACAATAAAATGTGTGTATATACCTACTACAATCAAATGTGTGTAGATACCTGCTACAACCAAATGTGTGTATACCTGCTACAATCAAATGTGTGTAGATCCCTGCTACAATCAAATGTGTGTATACCTGCTACAAACAAATGTGTGTAGATACCTGCTACAATCAAATGTGTGTATTTACCTGCTACAATCAAATGTGTGTAAATTTACCTGCTACAATCAAATGTGTGTAGATACCTGCTACAATCAAATGTGTGTATATATACTTACTACAATCAAATGTGTGTATATACCTGCTAAATACAAAATAACTCATTAAAACCAAAACAATATATTTCGGGTTCTTTCAGGTGAAATCATTATATCTAAGAACAAAGGAATAGTTTTGCAAATCACTGGTTGAAAATGCTAAACTAAAGGGTCCAACATCGGGAGTCTCCCTCCTAAATAGGAAGAGTTAGCAAGTCTGTTTAGGAGGGAGACTCCCGATTTTGGACCCTTAAGTTTAGCATTTTCAACTAGTGATTTTGATCAACTGCAGATGCGGCATGTAAACAGTAGGGGGCCTTAGGATGCCGCTCATAGCCTGAGGCTAGGACTAGAACAACAAAACCCTGAGGAATGCAGGGTAGGAACTATGACACAATTATTTTACCACAATATTTAAACAGAGGTTCTTTCATGTTTGAAAGCCGTGAATGATCCGTAAAACAAAAAGTGTGACGTAATAAACACCACTTAATCACACTGGGTCACAGTCAACACCATGCCTTGCTGCCGATTCATCATCGCTCAAATTCACAGGCATTAACTCAAGGCTACCCGTTGGAAACTCTCTAGGTATAGAGTCACCCGAAGGTTATAACCCATTCAAAAAATAAACCACTGTTTCTTCAATGTTTTCTCAACAAGGTTGCTTTTTTGCGATCCCGGAAAAGGACATTGTGATGTTACATCATATCTCATATCATATATTGTAAATTAAAGAATTAATTTTTTTACTTTTATTTATTGATGTTTTTGGTTTTTCTTCCCCTTAGTAAAGATTTGGAAATTAAGGATTGAATCTTGATTTTCCAAGGTTATTGCAAGTATATATATGAAAGGGAGAAAAATTACTTGCATACTTCACATAAACAGATTTTGCTACGACCGCTCATATGATGTGCAGGTAAATTTTCAAATTGCATTAACCTTACACAAATCTGTATTGAATCCAGTATAAACATGTATTTCAATAGACCTGATCTTTTATAAATTTTGAAAATTTCATTTTTATCCCCCGCTTTCACCGAAACGGGGGAAATTAACTTGGGTTTGTTTGTCTGTCACGCTTTGTTTCCTTGCAATAACTACAACAAATGTGAACCGATTTACTTCAAACTTGGTCACAGGGTTAAATGCCTTAAGGACTCTGCCAAGTTCGATGACCACTTTCAGCAGACCCCATTTGGCGGAGTTATGGCCCCTTAAATAATGAAAAACATCATTATCTATGACGCTTCATTTCCGTGCAATAACTACAACAAATGTTAACCGATTTACTTCAAACTTGGTCACAGGGTTAAATGCCTTAAGGACTCTGCCAAGTTCGATGACCACTTTCAGCAGACCCCATTTGGCGGAGTTATGGCCCCTTAAATAATGAAAAACATCATTATCTATGACGCTTCATTTCCGTGCAATAACTACAACAAATGTTAACCGATTTACTTCAAACTTGGTCACAGGGTTAAATGCCTTAAGGACTCTGCCAAGTTCGATGACCACTTTCAGCAGACCCCATTTGGCGGAGTTATGGCCCCTTAAATAATGAAAAACATCATTATCTATGACGCTTCATTTCCGTGCAATAACTACAACAAATGTTAACCGATTTACTTCAAACTTGGTCACAGGGTTAAATGCCTTAAGGGCTCGGCCAAGTATGATGACCACTTTCAGCGGACCCATTTGGCAAAGTTATGGCCCCTTGATTAACAAGAAACATCATTATTTGCAGTTTCTGCTTAATAACTCTAGCAAGTATATTAGCCAAGAACCTTCAAACTTGATGACAATGTTTGTGTTCCTCTGTCTTTCCACCCATCTCGGGCACTCTTTGGTTTTCGTGTGATAATTGCTGTAGATATATTGTTAAGATGTTTCATCCAAATTCCTTATGCACATATCCAACTTCTGCTAAGTTTGCCAACCGATGTGATTTACAGCAACCTAACCTCAATGGTGTTTACCTGAGGGTTGCCAACCTCTAAGGAGTCCAGTGTGGGAGATCTCCCTCCACTGGGTTTTCTGAAGTGTGAGACTTTTGACGGCGTCGCAGTGTAACGTCTTTTTCAGGTGTTGAGATAATATTTACCTATGTATCAAAATAATCCTTGCTTTCACCGACTACTGTAACATCTGCATTGTTGCTCTTTTTACTTCAAGATCTTTGCAGGAAATAAAAACAAAACATTTTTTGCATAGATATATAAGTTTTTTATTTATCACACAAACAACTTGACATCAGAAATGCAACACATTATAATCAACGGACTTTCTTGTAACAATTTCTTTCTTGGCTAGAACAGGTACCAGTCACTTTTTTGTTTTACTGTCAATATTGCTAATATGGCATGGGATGTTCCATGACCTGTCAAAAAAATATAACAGTTCATATCAAAAGCAAGAAATTTACCATAGTAGTATTATGAAAAGTTCATTAACATGGAAGATAAAAAAAAATGTAATTTGACAGTGAAAAATATTTTCCAATTATACATTATCCAAAGCAACAAACAGACCCTGGTCATTTACTTGTACCATGCCTGCAATATTCGATTCAATTTATTTGTTGCATGATTATGTATACCTACGTTCTATGTTAAACCTACAATATGTCCTGCAAGCGGGGGATATAAATTCCACGAATTTGCTTGTTAGAGTCAAATTTGGACCCTTAAATTCCAGATGTAGAAAAAACAAAAACCACATATTGAAATTATCCTGAAATGAAAATTTGAAGATTTGTTTAAATTCTGCTTTGATCAGAACACACATTTTGTTCTTTACGGTTGATTTAAAAGAATGACTTCATAAAATCCTACATCCTTGAAAAACAGAAACAAGTTTTCCCATTTTTTAGGATGGTGGCATGATCGCCAAAATACCTCAGCCTAGAATTTTATGGAAAGAGGAGTTGGGTCTGCACATGCTAATGCTTAATTAAAATTCAATATCATATTTTAAATCTCTAATTGAGAGTACTCAACATAGATAATATCTGCCAGGTAAAGAAGACGGATGTACTTATTTAATGTGTTTCTGTGTCTGATAAGATCAGGAAATAATGCTGGCAGTAGAGACAACATCTCTGATCTGACTGACACACCCTAGCAGACTTATGTCACGACGTTATAATCTGTATTGAATTCCTGACCACATCCTTCTCAGAAGCTGGTCATATCCTAGAGTACCTTAAAGAATTTGTCAGTGAAATATTGATCATCCAATCGTGTCAATGCATAAATGGATTACGATCCTACTGGTCCAGGTGTGTTACAAATTGATGGAAAGATTTTTGCAAGGTTGGGATCAAGTAAATATCTATATATCTTTAGGATATATATTCTGTTAACATGAACTTTTGCCACAATTTTAAGTTTGCCCTTTAAAGATGGAACAAAATCGGCATAGACGAAAAATGCTTCAAATAGCCAGGTAAGTATATGTGGATTATTTTGTTGTAAGGTAAATGAGGTTGCACTGCAGCAGTTAAAATTGCAAGCAAATGTTTGAGTATAAACATCTTTTTTGCATTGAATATTCTGCATTTTTTGTTTTTATATTTATAAAAGATGAAGCAAAAAAAAGAGATTTGTTCTGGCTAAGAGTTACCTCCCTCGTCAGGGTATTTAATTTTCATTTTAATGCTATGCATTTATATTTCCTGTATAGAATTGCAACATGTCTTAGTATATATGGAATTCATTCTTGTTATTGAACATTATATAGGCCAATGGAGAGTCTTCTATCTATTGTTTCTGTGGGGACTCCGAGGGATTTTTCAAATACTATTTAAGGTATCTTGAAAACAAATTCTAATAGAATTTCTGTTTATGTTCACATTATAAGTACCAGGGTATTTACAAGAAGGCAATTAAATCATAGCATATTAATACTTTCTTTTAAAAGATGAAGTTTGGAACAAATTTTAAAAAGGAGTGTGCACTATTGAAGATCCAAGCTTTGATTTAATTATCTTGGAAAGAAAATTCAGCTAGAGTTTCTCAAACTTAGTTTTGCTACTGAACTGTCCTATATATACTGCCACAACGATGGTAGAAATAGCCTGCCAGTCTCTTATTTGGCTACAATCCCCTCATCAGGTATTAAAAAATTTACAACATCAGCACATAAATATATGCTTCAATATACCTTTTCTTGTTTTATTTTTTTTCAATAATATTCCAGATCGCCGCTTGATTTCAAATTCATGACAATATATATAGAAATTGAACACTTCAAAATTGTAACTCGTGTTTGTATATTTTCCAGGCAAAAAATATATTATTTTCTGTGGTATACTTCACCTATCTTTGGAATCTGCAAAGTTACGAATTCAAATTTCACATAAAAAAATCTGAATTTGAAATTCCGGAGAAGCATTGATTCTACCAACTTGAAGGGCTTCCCCAAAGATATACATACAATTGTATGAATACACACAGATGTTTAAATACATAAACACTGTAAAGATTCAACATGATGTCAGATATTTGACCCAAGGGGATTCAAGCATTGATGCCTATCAGAATATTGAATATAAACAACTGTATAAATAAGCGTTCAACACCACATGGTCAACCACAGTGGTTTAGCCGAAGGTGTGCATGATGCCAGTTGTATTTGATAGTATGCTAATTTCTACATATACCCAGCAGGGGATTATAATCATTATAACATATGAATAGTTGAATGCATTTCAGTCGTGAATGTGTTTGAGAAGGAAATACATCCATTTTGTTTGCAAATTTCTGTATTCTGTGTCTGAGGTGTATATATGCATCAGTTGCCTCTAGTTTTGATATTTTTATTATCAGTATATGAATAATAATGCATTAAGGATGTTCATTTGCAACTTAGATCTGATGGTGAAGAGTTAATGTAATCGGAGTAAAAGTTGTGTGTACAATAACTGTGACTGTCCCCTTCATTAACTCATTTACCCGTGAAATTTCATAATGAACTATTCCAACATTCAAATTAGAAGAGTTCAATTGAATCTTCATGGGTGAATGAGTTTAACATATACATGTTCCATTGAATATCCACCTGTTTGATTTCTTTGATTATTCATACGTTAAACCTAACTTTATGATTTGTGCTCTGTCCTGGTCTCGAATATTTCAAATAATACCACCTACCTTGCCTTAACTCCTTTACCACTTAAGACCATAATGGACTCATCCATATCAATGGATGGTAGAGTCTACCGAAGTTATGTAGGGGTGAAAGGGTTAATTGTTTATAATCAGCACCCCTGATTATGATTACTAAGTATCATTTAATCTTCATAAAATACAAAAGTGTGAACATATTAGCTTTATCTGTAATAGCTAGGTCTATACATATAGGATCTTACATGAGTTTCCATTTCATATAAGATTAATGAAACAAGTCTAAAAAAAATCAATAAGCGAGTCTCTGGCGAACTTAAATGAAAAGTTTGTTAATTTTATGTAAAATGAAAACAACTGTAGGATCCTTTTTGTCACATAATCAAGATTTGTGGCATTTATTTGTGTAAAACAACAACTTTCATGCAACCTTGAAATGTAAAAAGCCACCATTTTGACTCCAATGCATAAGTATGTGACGTCATGTTATTGTTCTAGGCGTGACGTCACAATTGAAACTTACAACCAATCACAGCGCTGATAGGTCATATTACATGGGTTAATACGCCAAAAAATATGACATGGGTATATTCACTGGATAAAACAGTACATTATGTGATAAAAATTAATTTACATTGTGTAGATGTCTAAGCTACTCATACTAAAATATATCCGTATTATCAANGTCTAAGCTACTCATACTAAAATATATCCGTATTGTCAGCTTAAGTTATAACAAAGATTGAAAGATATCCGTATTGTCAGCTTAAGTTATAACAAAGATTGAAAGATATCCGTATTGTCAGCTTAAGATATAACAAAGATTGAGTGATATCAGAATTGTTAGCTTAAGTCATAGGGAAGACTAAAACAAATGTTATCAGAATTGTCAGCTTGAGTAAAAAAGAAGGTACACTATATGTAATGAGAATTGTCAGCTTAAGTCAAAACAAGGACTCAATGTTATATCAGAGATGTCAGTTTAAGTCATCCCAAGAAAGGTCAACTAAGGTGAGTCAAACCAAAGATTAAGTACATGTAGTGTCAGATGACGGCTTAAGTCAATGTGAAAGACTTAAAGGTTCCAGATGACCAGCTTAAAGACTGGAAGATCCAGATGTCAGCTTAAGTAAGACTAAAAAGTTATTGATGTCAGCTCAGCTTAAGTCAGACTAAAAAGTTATGGATGTCCGCTTAAGTCAGATTAAAAGGTTCAAGATGACAGCTTAAGTCAGACTAAAAAGTTACAGATGTCAGCTTAAGTCAGACTTAAAGGTTCAAGATGACAGCTTAAGTCAGACTAAAAAGTTCTAGATGTCCGCTTAAGTCAGACTAAAAAGTTCTAGATGTCCGTTTAAGTCAGACTAAAAGGTTCAAGATGACAGCTTAAGTAAGACTAAAAGGTTCCAGATGTCAGCTTAAGTAAGACTAAAAGGTTCCAGATGTCAGCTTAAGTAAGACTAAAAAGTTCTGGATGTCAGCTTAAATCAAAACAAAGAAAACATTGTACTCTATATATTATGAGATACATTATGAGATGGTCATACCAAACACTATTGATATCAGATGTGAGTTACATGTATTAATTATGTGCATTACAGTGTGTGTCTGTGGGTTTTCCATGCCTCACCTAGGATCTCTGCCAACATATTGACGTGCAATTGTTTGTGCATTATGCATACTTAAGGGAGTACAGTCTTCCTACCTATCCATATACTTTATAATGATGACAGGCATTAATATCAATGTGTATAATTTGTAATATCATATTAAGTCCTTCATCTTGCGTGATAATTAATTGTCATGCTAATTAATATATGATATAATTGATAACTCAGTAGTGCTTTTTTATGGATGCAGTATATGACATAGAGGTTACCAGGAGGATCTATGTCCTAATGCAGGCCAATCACAAGAAAACCCAACTAGTTTTTCAAACATGAAGTAACATGCCTTAGATTTAATTATGGGTTATCAGGTGGTCCACAGTGGATAGTGCATTTGCCTTTCACCAATGCAAGGCAGCCAGGGTTTGATTCCCCGATCAGATGTGAAAATGTATGGGGTCACCTGTCCGACCATGTGCGTTTTCTTCTCCTGTTTCCTTCCACATTAATTAACACCCCCCACCCCCGGGCACTAACATCCGAGCCAACAAGAGCGATTAATTTAAGTTGAAATAACTGGTTATATATTGTTGTGAAGTTTATATTTAATTATTACCAACACAAACTTTATAGACATGTAAATTAAAAAACAATATTTCAAGCTTCAAGTTCCTTAAACCTGTCAATTGTGAAATCTACTCACGGGCCATATTGTCTGCATCAGTACAATTGTCTTGATAGATAAATATATTGAAGTTAAAGGTTTGAAGTTATACAAGGTCATGCAAGGCTTGTCACCTAATTTTACTGCAGGTTAATGTTTTATTTCTGTAAAGTTTTTGAAATTGCTCAGAGAAACAAGTTTTTAGTTTCCCTAGACTAAATTGCAGAATGAGAAGACTTGAAGCTTTAATTGTCTGTGGACAGCAAAGTTTTGGGAAAGCAGCAGTTCTAGTTATTTTATTTTGACTTACTGTAAGTAATTGATCAATAGATAAATAAAGGGTAAGTTAAATATATACCACAAGTCTAACTCGGTCATCAATCTTGGGTTGGATATTTAAACCTGCAGGACTGAAATAAGCCATTGAATAGCGACTGATACACATTACCTTATTTAACATAATAATTAAGTGCTCTGAGGCAATAAACACATTATAATTATTGCATAACTTTTTAAAAATCTCATGAAATAGCCATAGTGTCCCTATTTTTGAAGCAAGTCAGTAAATTATGAAGGGTTGAAATTGGGACTCTTTTGAACCAGAAATAGTATAGTTGGCGCTTTTAAAGGATGGGGCACTTATTACGTCAATTACAGTACATCTGTATCGAGGCGGATCTGTTGTGTGATACATGTATAATTAACAGGGTGATATAATCATTAATTTCCATGTAAGGTTATATATGTTTACATCATGTACTTAAATATGTAGACACAAACTTCCTCACCGGGTTTAAACGCCATACTTTGACAGCTGTACATGCACTACTGAGGCTGTTGACCGTTGTTGTTAGGAATCATATCTTGACACTATAAAACTTGCTTGTTCGTTATATTGCTATATAGGGTGTAAGATAATTTATTTAAGATGCATGGCCCTCAAGATTGTTTTGGTGACTGATAAAATTCACTACATGTATATCAATCTTCCTGAAGGACGTTGATAGAAATACCAGTTTATACATGTACAAGTGAAAGGGTTAGGTGCCA